GGCCAGAAGGGATATTAAAAGAATCAGGTTCCTGTTGATAGCTCCTTTAAGAGTCAAGAACTGAATAAACATGGTTCAGTGCAGGGCTCTGACCCTCAGCAACATCCTCTATTCTGCCAACACAGTTGGGATTTTGAGTTGCTGAATCAGGCAGACAAGGAAAGCAAATAAAGGCAGCCAGGAGCTGGATAAGTCAAAAATTCTTCTTCCAGTCTTCTTGTTCTTCCAATGAGTCATTCCCATATGGGAAGAAGCATCAGTCCCACGTCTGCTCTGGGGCTGATGTTGGCCTGGCAAAGTCAGTTGCTTCTCAGGTAACGAAACATGGGAGTCAAAAGAATATAGTGGATGTTGCTGATGTTGTTCTTAACGGTCTCCTTCAAAAAAAGAGGGAAGGGCATGGCTGTGTCCAGAGATCCACCAGCATGTGTGTCTCTTGGGGATGGCAGCAGCTCCCCAATGAGCTGTGCTGCTTCAGCTGAAACATGCACAAGAACAGAGACTAAACCAAAATATGTGCAAAACAGAGGCAATGGCTGTATCTCTTCTTTCAACTCTATACATTAAGTACTTTGGTTTTGGGACTCCATTTCTACCTGATATGAAATACGGGTTGGTTGCTGGCCCCTTTGAGCTGCGGTTCCAATGTCAGGGTAACTGATAATGTTAGTGCCCTGAAACTTAGTAGAAGCAACAGAAATAAAACACAGTCCCAAGGTACTAACCTTTTGCTCTGAACTGTCCAAATTGCCTTGTTCCCTGCTTGCCTGCTTTGCCCACTCCCCCGAGTCAGGCCTCTCAGAGAGTCACTGGGAGGCCATTGCCTCCCTCCTGCCCTAAGTACACAGAAGGCAGAAACACATGAAGAGATCCAAGCATGGCTTTTATTAGCAAGGAATCTTTTATCCATTAATTTTACTCCCCTAACCAAAAGCAGCTGATTTACCAGGGATTTTATTTGTTTCCTAACTTAATTGCTTGATGCTTCAGATGTAATCATGTTAGCTACTTTTAAATGATTAAAGGGGAAAGGCAGTGGAGGCTCTTCTGTAAAGTTCTTTCTCTCTCTTTCTTCCCCTCTACCACCCCCCACAGCATGTCTTTACTGAACCACAGCTGTGACCCAAACTGCGTGATCATTTTTGAAGGATACCAGCTTCTACTTCGCTCTGTCCGAGAGATCCAGATTGGTGAAGAGGTAATTAGCTTGTCCTCCCTTCCATCACAGACACCTGCAACAATGACATCTCCTTAAATAAATTCCAGACTACAGGGCCACCAGCTTAATATTTTGATGATATATTGATGCCACTTTCTAGCACATAGCTATCAGGGGGAAATGATAAATAGAATCATCTCTTCACACTGCCTGGGCCCCATAATCATTACTTCTCATAAATCACTAGCAGTCTTGATAAATTCTTGTTCCTCCTTTCCTCCTCTAGGCACTTCATTTTGTTTGTATTTAAACATCTTTGCCCTGATGGAAACACTTATAATATTTCTGGGTGGAATGCAGGGTTCACTAATTCACTGCAACAATAAGCATTTGTCAGGCTGCAACCATACTGTTGTCATAAACCTTTCATTGACAGCAAAAGTAGCAAGACAAGGTTTGTTTTCTTGTCCTTTTCACTAGAAGAGACTTCAAAGTATCCCTTTCAAGAGATTTCTGATTTGATCTATGGTATTCTCAGCTTTGTTTTTATGATAGCATATGTATTACTTCAAAAATAATAATTTGTGGCTAGGTCTTACTTTCAAAGTAAGATCTTTTGCAGCAATGCAATATTGAATTTGCTTAGTAAGGCCTGCAAAGATGTGTGTATATATGTAACTTTACATGCACCAGTGACCTATGCAGTCCTAGCTGTTGGTCATTTCAAAATCATGGCTTAATGTAAATATGGCACATGCCTGTGGTTCAGACTCTGGGAAGATCAAGGGCATATGTATTCTAGTTTAGGAGCAGTATATCTTCTTTTCCTTCCTATGAAGTGTGGGGTTTTGTGGTTTTTTTTTTTAATGTCTCCTTTCTCTAAGATAATAGGCCATCAAAATAAGTAAATGGTAAAATTTTTTTTTTTTTTTAGAGAAAATACTGTGGAGAACCAAGATAAATGCTTTTGCATACTTATCTTTTTGCCAAGAGAAATCTTTTAGGATGCAGTATACTTTTGTGGAGCTGTTAAGTGTAGACACCTTTCAGTCTGGCATTCTTGTTCAAGCCAAATTATAGACACCTTCCTTCCATTTTATCCATATACCGTAACTTTCCTTATGACTTCCCAATTCACCCAGATGGATTGTTTAATTAAAGATACAGGAGATTTTAATGTCTTCCCAGGATGAAGTTGGGTTAATTGTTAGAAATCTAAATTCTGAAGCTATCTCATTTTTATGTACATGGATGTATTTTTCTAGATAGATTTCATAAAACAATACTTTGTAACAAGCAGCTTTTACAGAGTGTGAGAGGCTCTCAGGTGGCCCTAGGTGGTTCTGGAGTGAGAAGTGAAGTAGAATTCCCTTGCAGGTATGACCACTATTCAGACCATGCTATGGTTGTGAAGCTATGACCCAAATTTTAGTGTTAGTGGTCTGTAACCCACAGAAGTCTCTAAGTTAAAATTAGCGGTGAAACAGTTATGGTGTAAGTTACATCATTTGTAAGGCAGTCCAGAAATAAATATAAGTTATAAAGCAGGGCAGCTAGGACCAGTTTGTTTGCAGTGACTTTGGCAGTTGTGTGAATACAGGCTTTAAAATTACTGCACCTTATGTGGGCATATTATATTTCCTGAAAAACTTTGCCTCCATTGAGGCAGTGAAATAAAGTCAGAATTTTCCAAAGAGCTCAGGTTCTGGTGTCTTTATTGTGACTTTCACTTCTGGTTTTGCTACTGAAAGGAAAACTTGCCTTAAGGAACATGTAAGATTATACACACACACACTGTGTGAAAGCAGGTGCCCTCTTGACTTCCCTGGAAATAAAAGTCTTGGTCTGAGGTGCATACATAAGAATGTGTCTAAGGAAGAAAATGGGCATAAGTGGAAAAGTAAAGATACAAAGTGAGTATTAATTTAGATCTGTTATGGGAAGAGGAAGGAAAAGGAAATTATTATGAGGGTATGTACAAGTCAGCAGTTTAATATTATTTTCAACACCCAATTACTTTTCTTCTTACACAACTGCTACCGCTTTTCATTTTGTGTTCTGTGCGGTAGCTTTACTACAACTTCTTTCCACACTGCCTTACTGCTTGCCTGCAGCAGGGTGAGCTCAGGTTGCTTAATAGCCATGTATTGAATTTACACACCTATGTCCATGGAACTACATTGCCTGTTATGAGCTGAGTTTTTGCTTATATTACTGAGGTCATGATCTGAGCTAATGGGAGAGAAAATACATGTTAGGGAGGGATCTGATTGGGTTTTCCAAATAAATTGAGTGCTCTGGGGTGGTAAGATGAACATTGTTACAAGTCATGAGGCAATAAGAAAACTTAAATAAGCAGTAGAAAACTTGCCTTATCCTGTTCATACTTACACTAGATTTAGACAGAATGAGATCCCATATGTAATTATTAATAGAAAGTAAATAAGCACTAAGATTTATTAGAAATGAAAAGCTAAGTAGCAAGTCAAGCTCAGATTAGTACAAGAGGACTGTGACTTTACTATCCATATAGGAACAAACTTGACAGGGCTTCTGGACCCTTGCCAGGAAAGTATGAACCACTGCAATGTGATGTGTTCACTAGCCCAGTGAGAAGTAAAACTATTTTTGCACATTCGTAATGCTTTCTATCAGAGGATTCGACAACAATTTACTCATGTTAAGGAGTTGTTGACCACCTATAATCACAGGGAAAACAGAGATACAGGGAGCTGAGGTGACTGGCCATTATAGTCATCTCACAATTATATGAAGAGGGAAGCACTGGTAGACCTGATTTTCGTTGTAAACCAGAAGAACAGGTGATATTACACTGGATGTAGCTACTGCAGTGTAATTCAGGAATAACATTTATGCCCCTACCACAGTTTAGAGTGCTCATGCTATACACAGTAATTATATTTATCAAGTCAGTGATGCATGCAAGATTATGAGAACCTCAAAAAGTTTTTATGTCCTAATGGAATTTGTTTCAGTCCTGTTTTATTCTCTTGTCTAGGCAGGTTTTGTTGGCTTTGCATGTTTTTGACAGGAAGGCATGTGGCGTGTAGTTGTTTTTAATTGCATTTTGGTTTGGGCATTGAAATTTGTTCAAATCCTAAGGCCAAAATGTATCTCAGGCAGTAGAAAATTAGGACTTCCGAGACAGAAAATGTTTGCCTGAATCCTTATAGAATGAAAGTGCTAAATTTGATGGTGATGTGTATTTGGAAAACTAATTGCTGCTAAAATCATACACAAAAATTCTAGCTGTCTAGACCTTTTTTGTGGCAAAGATGGTGTTGCCAGTCCTGAAACACTAAGAAATCATGAGTCTTGAATGTTACTTTTTTGTAGGCATTGAAAGAAGGGATTCATGTATAATTGCATGGTTTCCCAAGTTGAAGCTTTAAGAAAACAGTGTATTGCAGGAATCATAATGTAATACTGAGAGTTGGCAAGATGGAGAAGTGTCTGGTCCTTAAATTTTGTGTTGGAAACCAAAAGCTGAGATTTTTCTTTAGGTATAATATTTGGGTTTTATACTAGTGTGGTTCTATGGAATTGCATGCTCTTTGAGGGCAGAAAGTTACCATTTTAAACAAAAACATGCTACGTTCCCCTTGGACTTTGATGATAAATACTTTAGTTGATGTTCAAAATAAGAGCTTTCATTTCTGTCATTATATAATTTATTTGTCTGTTTAAATGACATTTATAATCTTCGTTAAATGTAGAATTTTTATAATGAAAATTTGGCTCTGATAGGAAACTTTCTTCAAGCTTGATAGCCTTTCTTTTTTTTTTTTTTCTTTCCCGTCCTTGCTCTGTCTCTGTTGTAATTCATGTAAGGGCATATGGGTCTATGATAATACCCCAAATTCTAGTGCTTTTCCATCTGGTAATGATCACTACTAAATTTGTTTTCTGTCCTGCAACTGGCATAAAGGGAATGAAAGAGATAGGGAGCAGATGAGAGGATGAAAGAAGTGAAAGGAAGAAAAGACTTAGGAGCAACTGTTGATCTCCGTGCATAGATTGGGGGTCAGTTTGGCTAGAAAGGGTCTCCGAACACTCGGTAAACTCTACTCTGTACCAGGGTTTTGAGCATAATTGATTCTAATAGCAGGAAGAAAGAAATAGAATATTTTTGTGGGCATCTTATTCTTTATGTCCCCACTTAAAAGACTACAGAGCTTTCTGAACCTTGCTTTCAGCAGCTCAAAACTGATAACACCTTTTAGCTCCTCAAGATAGTGTTAGTTGTAGTGCTGACTATCACAGCTTTTGTAACTTAAGGTGATGTTACTTTGATAGTATACAAAGAGTTCCTTTTCTTGCACTTTCTTCTTTGCAAAAATGAAATTTAAGTATTGCAAAGAAAGGTAAGATATGGGGAAGGATTATAAGAAAGCAAAAATCATTCAGTTTGATATCACCAGGGCTCCTTCAGTGATAAGGTAGACTATCAGCTAATTTACTTTCTCAGAAAGACAAGCAGCCTGCTCTGAAGAGGTCTTCATCATTTCCCTACCGTTAAGTAACCACTTTAAAGAGCATCAAGATGTGTGCTATAATTTCAATTGACTTTTTGTTAATTGCTGTGTCTACTTGATGTTTTGCAGGCAGACATGACCTCATTTTGCTCATTCTCCAGTCAGAAGTTGTATAGCTATGGTTAGTTCAGTGCATAGCTCAAAACAATTAGTCCTGCTGAGAGACAGGATGTGTTAGCTGAGGTCCAGTTCTGCTCCAAAATGGGTGCATGGGTTCTCATCAGCCTCAGACTTCAGTTAGAGCAAATTTGTACCTTTCTGCAGAAAGTCACGTAGCAGACAGTACTCTTACAGAGCAACTAATTTTTAAAATCAGTACTAAATACAAATCAGAATTTCGGATGATCAGCAATTAAATCTATCTTCATGAGAGATTTCAACCAAGATATGTAATATTTATGTTGTTGTAATTCTATGAGGAGAAATTTTTTATGTGTATGTTTGACATATTATATTTTGTCACATTACATTTTTTAAAATAAAATTTTTCCTTGAGTTAGAAGGCATTTTGATCATATATGCCAAAACAGAAAGATCACAGACTATCCACAAGTTGTATAACTCTGTTTCAGGAACAGATTTTTGTACACAAGCCTTCCTAAGACCCTGAGACCCATGATTGTAAATACAAGAGGACTCACTTTTTTCCCCTGCTGTTTACATTAAAAGAATTTATTTTAAATTTCTACAGGATCCCCTGTCTAGAAATTTTGTACCTTATAGCCTGTTACAAAAACCATAAATTAAGTCCACTGCAGCATGGCTGTACTGGAAAATTATGTCCACCTCATTTGGCAGATGAGGAACATGAGAAACTAACCACCATACCCATGGTTAAAGAATTTCTGTGTCAGAGCAAGAAGTAGGGCTCAGACAGTGCTGTGTTTCTAAGGAGAAAGCTTTGAGAATCAATAAGTCTTATGGCTCTAAAATAATTCCTTGCCTTCATAAATGTTATTTAATATATGTTCTCCAGAAAAGTTTTACTGCATTCTTTATAAGCGATGCAATAAAAAGGCAAGCTTTGGTCAGCTGAAATAATGTTTTAATTAATACCATACATCCGACATGCAAATACTATTAAGACAACCTTTGATTAATGGGCATATTTCCTAAATATGAACAAATTAAATGAGCCTTGCATCTAATGAAGGGATCCAAAATTAAAACAAGTGTAGGAGAGAGACTCGAATACAGAATACAGAATTTTTATGTGTAAACGATTAAATGATTCGTATAGCCTTAGTCACCATTAGGTTGGTCATGTTTCTAAATATTCTAATTACGTTTTCCCACTCAGTCTGCCAGCTACAAACATTTTTTTACTTACAGATTTCTGCTGGCCAGAGTGGGAATTTGGACTTGAGCCTCTGATAGCAAGAGAAACCCTAAGTTTTTAAAATACTGAAAGGAAGTATCAGTGTGACAAAGCCTCTTGTCCTCCTCTTTCTGTCCAGTCATATGCTCTAATCCAGATCAGGTTGTTGTGTGACTGTTCATATCCACAAGTGTTTAGTAACCTCTGAAAAAGAAATTACTGGATTCAAAGTTGTTCCTGCTTCCAAGGTCTCCACAACATGAATGCCAAAAAAAAAAAAAAAGGGGGGGGGGGGCAAAAAATGAAAAGGGGGAAAGGGAATGAAGCCTTTAGACTGTAGATACACATGCTCAATGTTGCCTATGTGTTTGTTTTGCAGTATTAGAACTGAATCCTGCCTAATGATGGGTTTATACCATTAGGTGGGTTATGCCAGTAATGATAGAGTTTAAACCATTGTCTTAAGTATTTTGAAAAAGAATAGACTAATCTTGCATGAATGATTTTCCCCAGAAGATTCCTACTGTCTTGCACTGTCCCTGAAGTTGATTAAATCCCTTTTACTGCAGGATGTCACCTGAACCTAAAGCACAGTAGGACATGGGTCAGAACCAGTGATGTTTATGCAGAGGATAAGAAACAGGGTGCAGAATGATTTTGACAGAAAACACTTGCAAGTTGCAAGGAGACATGAAGATCAGAGGCTTGTGATGGGAGAGGGAAATTGGGCTTGGAATGCCTGAAGGATGAGGTTGGAACTACAGCTTGATTCGAAACGTCTTTGTGGGAAGGAAGGGTGACAGATCTTTATTACCACACCAGGGCGGATGCAGAGTAGGACCAGCTGGGGAAAGAAATGAGGACAAAGTTGTTGGGGTCACTGAAGATGATTGAGAAACCAGAGTAGGGCAACAAAGACCATTAACTTGGGAGAGTAAGTGTGTTTGGTGATCAAATATGGGGAAAAGATGTAAGCCGAAGCACACAGAGGAGGCAAAAGGGCAGATCTGGGACTGGCAGGATGACGAAATCAGCCCGTTGTACCAAGAATGACTATGTAAGGAGAAGTTCTATCTTCTGGGCTGGAAACCAGCTTTAGATATCCAGACGTGGAGAATATGACTGGAAAACGATACTCATGCCCAGGGGCAAAGAAGAGAGAGAATGAGAAGAGGGAGAGGTTGGAGAGAACGGGGCAGAAGAGACCAAGCTTGGTGGAAAAGAGTGGAAAAGAAACAGGCAAAAGAATTTCCATCCATTCACCACAGGAAGCTCAGAGGGAAGCCTTCTGTTATTGTGTAAATTAGTAGTACAGACTATTCTGCTGTAAACCAGCGGTGGTGAAAATAATCCCCTCTTGGCTCAGACACGCACAAGCTGGGACAGAACATTATATAGAATGCAAAAGCTAATGAAGTTCTCACACTTTCTAACTTTTGATTATCTGTGGAACTTTAATTTGTCTCTTTCATTAATTATACTATTAATCTTCAGTTATGAGGTCTTTTTTTTTTTTTTTTTTCTGCAAAATTTCTTCTCGTGACAATTTTAAATGCTTGACTTTGCCATCTCGGTCGTCTTCTTTTAATATAGTCCTCCTTCAATATGTAATCAAATTACACTGTAATAATAAATGAAAAAAATGCAGGCATTGTTTTAGTTGCTTGTTAATTGCTCATTTGATTAGAATGCTCACTAATTTGCAAAATGCAGGTTCTGACAATGGGTTTCATAGTCATTACTACAAATTGGTCAGGTTTTCCTGTAATTTCTTGGAGTGGACTCTCATGATTTAACTGAGAACCATGTGAAAATTCTCTCAATTAGCTGAAGTGTCTAGGCTCAGGATGAAATAATGTGACCTGATTTTTTTAGCTCTGACCTTTCTGGAGTGTTTCAAAGTGTGTTGGGCGTATAGTGTAGTCATTCAATAGCATGTATGACTGAATGCTGGTCTGAGTTGGGCTGTTATTTTGTTGTATTTTTTCCCTTGTCATTAGTTTGTGCCTGTGCAGCACGTTAAACAATTGAAGAACTCTACAAATGATTAGCCCTGTAAAATTCCTTCTGGCAGGCGTCAAAGTGAACAAACTAAATTCTTCTCTGTAGTTCATTGGAATTCACTCTGTACAGCATGAGGGGTTGAAAATGGTGCAAATGTAAGCCTTTTATCATTTTAATAAATTTTCTTGTCAATAGTCTGAAACAACTTTGCAATACTTTTGTGCTTCCTTGGTCACAAAGTAAACGTCACAGACATACTGAAGATTAATATGACATGAGAGGAACTTTTCTCAGGCTCAAACGTATATTTGCAAGAAAGCAGAGTCTTCACTGAGATGAAATTTTTTGAGACAGTTGAATGTTATATAACACCAGTTATATAAATACATAGTTAAGCTTTGGAGCTAGACAGGAAATGAGACTTCATGCACAGGGAATTCAGATACTGAGCTGCTTCTCCCTTCTTTATCTTTCTCCTTGCTGTCTCTCCTTTCTTTCCTTTTTTCCATTTTCTTCCAAGTTACAATGAAAAGTTGAAATAGTGATAATTTTGGGGTAATTAATAATTTCCAAAAATTTTGATCCGTAAATGTGAAAAAGTGATCCTCTATGGAAATTATTTTTGGCCTTTTTTTTTCACCCTTTATAATTGTAGTCTATTTCTTCTAGGAAATCATCTGTTAAGATAAAATTTTATTTTATACTGGAAAAATGTTGCATCCAAAAATGTTACCTTAGATATACGTACACCTAATATGGAATTTTTGTAAAACACACCAACTCTGGTTTTATATGTACTGCACACAGCTCACCATCAGCTATATTGAATCACTGATGCCCAGCAGTGAACGCCAAAAGCATCTGATGCGCCAGTATTGCTTTGAATGTGACTGTCCTCTCTGCCAGAATCAAGAGAAGGTAGGTTGAGTGAAGAAATTCCTTGCCAATGAAACAGAATTTTCCAAGGCTTGTCAGCGGCTTCTCTTCCTTTACGTAATACTTATCTTTTGCTACTAATTGAATGGCCAGAATAGAGAAGAAAATGACCTCTGCCCTCAGTGCTGTTTACGTTGCTGTGAAAGACAACCGTGAAGGAAAGAAAAGCAGGAAATGTTGACAACATGATAAGAAGAATTTCTTGCTAAAATATGCATTGTTCATAAACCTAGGAACCACTTTCAGTTCCAGGCTGTGGTTCAGATAATTTTGAGATTCAAGAACTTCTGAACATGAGAGTTAACATGATTTTAAACTGAAAGAATATATTTTTTTTTTCTATTCAAAAGAATAATCTTGGAACTTGAACTAAAGCCACTTGTCTGATGCTACAGGAAGGCTATGCTTATCCTTTCAATAATGTTAAATTAATTCTAATAAACACCTGCATCACTAATTTTCAAGAACTACCAGACATATTCAGTAGCTGTTAAAGAGAGTGGTGAACCTCCTTGGATGAGTGGTTTTTATGCTTTCTTTCAGAAGTTCTTGGGGTAGCAGATCGGTAGTTGTAGTAGATAAAATTTTGTTCAGTGTGACCTTTTACTAGGGTTCAGCCTAGCCTGGTTTAATTATATTCTGGGTTGTTTCATCTTTATACAGCCTGGCCAGAATAATTTTGTCTCCAAGCCTGATGAGTCATCAAATGGAATATGCAAAATTGGGCTGGTTTCATAGCAGTTTATGCGCTTTGTCTCTCTAGATATATGTACTTGTTCTTATTTTCACAGGTGCCTGTTTTGGGTAAGTCACATGCCATAGATAAATCTCTTCCTAGTAGATTAGAAATGATAAGAAAGGTATGGATGAAAATGTGATTCCATGGAGCATGATATGATTCATGAAATAATTGCTGTACAGCAACAAAGTAAAAAGTCAACCCAAAAGTTTAAACTTTGTGTTGGGTAGGACAGTTGTGTGCATGTAGTCAGCTCCAGCCAAAGTACATCCATTGAGTACATAATGTATCCTTTTATGCGTCAGCACGCAGTTCAAAAAAAAAGAACACAGAATAGTTTCAGGCTTATGACATAATGCTAAATGACTTCCTGTCCATGTGCAAAAGTTGTTGGCATTCTGTGCCCGATAGAGAATGCTGCAATGCTACTCAGATCCAGTGAAGGGAATTGAAGACTTCCTTTTGTCTTTCTTTTAAAGATGCTCATGAAGTGCCGTGAAATCTTAGATTAGTTTTGGGGAATGGCATCCCCACAGATCCAGTGATGATTAAGAAAAATATGTAGGCTAAAGAGTCTTTAAGAATTGCTTAACAGTTTGTGAAAGACAAGTGGTATAAAAACCATTCAGCATGTGGAATGTTTTAAGAAAGAGTATCCACAGGCTGGAGTACACTTCACTGTAAAAGTCAACATACAGCATCAAAAAATATTGTAGTGAGATTGTATGTGCATGTATTGATGAGAACAATAGTGTCATATGTAGGTTAAAAGTTATTAGTGGTTTTTTTTCTCTTTGAAATTTTTTACTGTTGTTTCAGTTCATATTCTATAGATCTTTTTTGCCGATTGGCAAAATTCCCTTGAGGATGTTACTGCAAAATGTTTGGAAAGCTCTTAGTGACTGCATTCTGAAATTCTGTAGTTTCCTTGTAAAGAGGTCTGTGATGGGCAAGGAACCTCATGTCAACTTTGTGTGTTGATGTCTATGAAGAAGACATCTTTATCCTCAGCTTCAGTCGAGGATGACTAGATATAATCTGCAGCAGTCCTCATAGTACTGCATTTCATTTTTCTGTGACAGAGGTTTTATAAATACAACTGTTTACATGACTAACTTGGATACATAGATTTTTTTTTTTTTTCTATTAATCATAGTCACTGCTGGTAAGCTGAGAAGCATATAACACTGCAGGTACAGTGGGTGATAATATTTTCAGAAATTCTGGGGTTTTTTAAATTATGAATGGCTGGATTTAGATGCTTGAAATTCATCAGTTGGCAAAATTATTCAATAATATCCCTGCTGAAATACTTCAATACCTAGCCAAATTTCCAAGACATCTTGGAAAATTTTTAAAAGGCAAAGTCTTTGTCAACAGAATAGGCAATGTCTGCAACTTTGGGTCATCAAGGTTCGCGGATTCCACATTGTGATTCAATAAATATAATCAGCTAACAGTAAATTCCCGTATTACAAAATTACTTTGCGAATACGATGCCTTATTCAACAGCAATCCATCTTGTAAGTCTTTGTTATAGATAAAAATGCTAATTTCAGTGTGGCTAAGAAATGCTTTATGCCTTCGAGTAAATTCTTGGGTATTGGGGATTCTTTCAGTTGTTAGTTATCACATCAAAAAATGTAGAATCCTTTTTCTAACAAACATTTACAGAGATCATAGCTTCTTGTTGCTCCCGAATTCCAGTCTTGCTGAGTGTGCCTGCCAGCTGCTGAGCACATACTGGGGACTGGTGAAAGCAGAGGAATTGCTCCTGAGATGCACACATCAATTTACAGTAAAACTATGTCAAGTAATTTCCATTGTAGTTTTTATTCTACATCTTTTGTCATGTTTTAAAAGCTGTCATGAGAATACTGTGCGAAATATACATTAAAGTTTATATGAATTGCATATAAAACTTATATGTATTAGTACTTAGTTATATGTATGCTTATTTATTCATATTTATAAAAATAGTTTGCAAGTTTCTTATCAATGAAATTCATGTCTCCTGCTATATTTTCTAAAGGTTTATTCATTTAGTCTTATATACCCAAGTGAAGGATGAAGGTGGTATCAAGTTTGTGTTCTCAAATCAGTTACTGACTTCGTAAATGACCTTGGGTAATTCATTTTATTCAAAAGCAACCTTTGTGTTTTCTAAGACCCTGACCTTATTTTTCGTAATTAGTGAGAAGCTACATTTTGATTGGCACTGGGCTGAACAGATTTTTGACTAGAAACTGTATCAGTCTGCCTAAATCAGGGACCATTTTTGTGAATGTTCTGTGAAACTCGGTTTTGCTCAGTTTCACCAAATGCAGTGTGAAGATGACAATTCATACTTCTGATGAGTATTCTGATGTCCAAAGAATAATAATAAAGATGCTGCGTTTTCTGAGGTCTTCTAGCTTTAAGTACTGGATTTGTTTTAATGAGAATAATTCCCTGAAGTGGAATGGTTTGAGGTTTAGTCTACATGAGCAAATAACAGATTTAGCCTGCAAAATGCTACTAATTTCTCCTAACTTTAGTTAGGCATCTAATCTAAGCCAGTTTTTAGCCTCCCTCCCTACCCAAAGGACAGACAACCAGCTCACTCATACTGTCTTGCAGTAGAAATCTGTGAAAACTGGAATCAATGTAAGAGATTAACGGAATGCCTTCAAATAAATACCCACGCTTTAGAAAGATAAAGTCGGGTGAGATAAGTTATGCTGCTCCATGAAGTATGTACAAACACAAAATCAAGAATCACATGATTATGTTTCTGTACTAGCTGACATGGATAGCAGAGTGCACTTGCAACTACATAGATTTCAGCACACTGACATCCAGATTGTCGATAAAATTTGTTTATGCAGGTCACTTCAAGCATTTGTCTCTGGCTGCTGCTGTAGACAAATGTATCTTACAGCCAGTGCCACTACTTCTTCACTTATTTGTGCTGAAATTGATTAAACTTAGATAGTGGTTACATCATACTACAATCTCACAGTTTAGCTATGCATACAAACAAGAGAAGTGTGTCAAAGTGCTCTTTTGCCATTCTAGGTTACATAATTCTGCAAGGGCTTTTTCTAATATTTCAGGTCTCTGATGAACTATGATTTAAGAGGCAACTTTTCTAGGAAGAAATATTCTTTATTTCTCGTTTACTGTAATATTTCGTGTCACAGCTATGTAAATCAGGAAAATTCACTCCAACACCAGCAATGGCTTTGAAATTCAGTCACTTGGTCTTTTTAGCTGGATATGGCAACTTCATATAGCATAGGAATCTTCTCTAACCACTGCCTAAGTATACACATGGCAAAGGCTGCTTTTTTCAAGTGCAGCCCACCCACATGAACACAGTTGAAGTTGTTGAAGTTAAGCAGCAACTCCAGCTGATGCACACTGTCACATTCAGTGTAAGCAGGCACAGCCCTAGACCAAATGGAGAGGTCCATAGCTGTGCAGTCACAATTGCATTGCATATTGTGAGAGCAAATGTCCCTCACTGCTGGTGAAAGGACTTGAAAGTGAATCTCTGTTTGCTATACGTTACTATTTTTTTATCTGTCTCTGCAACTGTGAGCACAGCCATGGAATAATCCAAGTGCATAGCTGTCATCAAGGATGAGAAAATACAAACAGTGGCAACTAGCTGGACCTGCGGGTCTCAAATAATTTTTGATGCCTGGTCCTTAATGTCAGCTGCATTTTGATTCTAAGAGGTCATGCGATAATGCTGGCCAGTTTCTTAGCAACCTGGTCAGCAGCCTGGCTGCTGATTTGACAAGGGAAGAGTAGCAAGTGCTAACATATCAGTGTAGACTGGTTAAGATAAGATTAAGGTGAACCTTTTGGCAATGTAGTTACTGCCAAATTAAATGGCACTAGCTACAAATCTAAACAATACTTTTAATTGATTTCAGCCCAAGTTGAAAATCAAAATAATCAGTATCTAAAAGAGGGGAAAAATACCTTGTCTTTCTAAAAGTCACTCATAGAATATTTCCTCACTGTCAGTACTTTAAGTTATTGCTACTGTAATGTCTTCTGTTCGTTGTATCTCTGACAGCTTTATACATTATTATTTGCTTCATTTTAAGATCAGTCTCCACTGTAATTCAGAAATGTGTGCCTTCCTAAAAGCTGAACTCTTGGCAACATATTACCATTCCAGCACATAAAAGCCCCTTACATTAATTATAATTAAAGATGGGATTACATTGATGACAAACACTTTAAATGG